GAACGTATGTATGTAAATGCCCGCGTAGTAGCCACTCACAATGATAATAAAATGTCTTGACTATGTCATTGAAATAAAAAAAGATTTAAATTGAATTAAATTTCTAATAAATACATACATACCAGTATATGCAAGAAAGATAACAAAAGCAAAGTTGCCTGCCAAAACGCAGCTGTCATTATATATATTTATACTCTCGCAACTTGTTGCTACAGAGTATAATAGTTTTGTTCACTTAACGGTTGTTTGTATCACCTAAAACTAATCCAGTTAAATATAGGGTTATATATATATAAATGATCAGGATGAAGAGACGAGTTGAAATCCGGGTGACTGTCTGTCCGTCCGTCCGTGCAAGCTGTAACTTGAGTAAAAATTGAGATATCTTCATGAAACGGTTGGTATTGCAGATGGGCGTAACTGGGCTACTGCCACACCCACAAAACGCCATTAATCAAAAACAAATAAATTGCCATAACTAAGCTCCGCAATAAGATACAAGACTGTTATTTAGTACAAAGGATCACATTAGGGAGGGGCATCTGCAATTTTTTTTAAATTTTTTTTAAAGTGGGCGTGGTCCTAATAAGTTTAATGTGCATATCTCCTAAGCCGCTAAAGCTATAATAACCAAATTCACTGGGAGCAAATGTTTTTAGCACCTCTATTGACGGTGTGAAAATGGTTGAAATCGGGTGACAAGCCCGCCCACTCCCCATATAACGGTACTGTTAAACAAGTAAGAAAGAGCTAAGTTCGGGTGTAACCGAACATTTTAAACTCTTGCAACTTGCAAAGATCAACGTAGGGAAAATACATTCAGATATAGCAAAACTTTATATTTATATTAATATTAAACTAGAAAAATGTTAATTTCAGCCGCACCGAAGCACTAATACCCTTTACGGAGTATCTTTTTGTTTATATTTAACCAATCCTCTAATCTTTGCTTACATTTGGGATTCTTTTGTTTACATTTTATGAAGTCGATGCCCCTTTGTTTACACTTTATGAGGTCAATGACCCCTTTGTTTACATTATAAGGTCAATGACCTTATTGTTTACGTTTTTCCAAGGTCAAAGACCCCTTTGTTTATATTTTATGAGGTCAATGAACCTTTTGTTTACATTTTCCAAGTCCACAAGCTATATTCGATCTAGCGAAGTCCACAACCATATGTTAACATTTAGCGAAGTCAACAACCTTTGTTTATATTTAGGGTCAGTGACCCTTTTGTTTACATTTTATGGGGTCAATGACTCCTTTGTTTACATTATGAGGTCAATGAACTTTTTGTTTACTTTTAGCCAAGTCCACAACCTATTTTCGATTTAGCGAAGTCCACAACCTATTTTTTCATTCAGCGAAGTTAACAACCTCTGTTTATATTTAGGGTCAGTGACTCTTTTGTTTACATTTTATGGGGTCAATGACCTCTTTGTTTACATTTTGCCAAGTACAATGACCCCTTTGTTTACATTTTATGAGGTCAATGAACCTTTTGTTTACATTTAGCCAAGTCCACAACCTATTTTCGATTTAGCGAAGTCCACAACCTATTTTTTCATT